GACCCGTCATGCCGGCGGCGTCCGTGACAATGATGCATTGCCCGGCGCTAAATTAGGTAACTGCTTTGATACAGAAGGAATATTTCTGTCTTCCCGACTCTTTGCTTTTTCATCTAGTTATAGCGCCTGGATGATTTGGCCTGTCAATCAACGTCCTTTTCGGGGCTGTTCCTCAATCCGTTTATGCGCGGCCTCTGCAACGAAACCGGTTGACCTTTCCTGACGGCTGACTTCAGAGCTTGGGGTTACATGACTGTGAACAGGTGAGTCAACCGCGCATATCCATATATTACACTTGCATGGGGGGGGAAAGAGTGGTAGTTAAAAGGTAAATGGGGGGACAAACCGTATGTCAATACGGGACCTTTATCTCTTATAGGCAGTTGGTGAAGTAAATCATATTAACATATGCCTACAGAACGCTTTTAAAGGGCAAGTGTCGGTCTAGAAATAAACGCGAGAGGCAGGATAACATCTTGACTCCTGGACTAGTTGGATTTTGACTGGTATTGGACTGACATCGGCCAGCGGTAGTAAAGTTTTACATATACATCTGACTCCTTCTGCCTGCATCTGGAGCCCTGCAACCAATCAATCAGGTTCAGTCTATCAAAGGGCGTTCCCATGCAGGTTTCTGTACTTTTCTTTTTCCTCTCTCTTCTCTTCCTCTCATATGCAATTTACCACACACCACCCCGGCATACTCAGCCTGGGGGACGCAGATTCAGCTCTGCAATCCCTGACGCATCTAACCAGGGCACCAGCGAACGCCGACTATGAAGCCAATGATCAAAGAGATTACACTTGAAAAGACCAGATACCAGCCTATAATGGAAACTAGAATCGCATGGCCAGGGATGGGACAATATATACCAATATAACAATGCATAGTCTGATTGCTGTGCCTTCATATGTCGAATTATGAACGGGAAGATTGTGCCGAGAGAGGGACCTTCTTTTCCCCTTACCTACAGCTGCACCAATTAGAGCATTATGTGGGCGAGTTATATGTGATGTTTGAGCGAGCAGAGAATTGTCCACCATCCGGAAGAATGAGGGAAATACTTTCGATGTCGATTTGATCAGATGTTACTATGCCTTGGGGTTTGACTAGCTACATATTTGAGCCTGGAGGCCATGGCCTGACCTTCTGATAACAAAACCAAAGGAGAAAAAAAAAAAAGATCCCTGAAAGAAGGCGTCCTGTCCCTGTGTGTAGTCATTTGTAGTCACTGAGTCCTGGTAAAAAAAGTTCCATTGAAGCAGATCCTGGCAAAGCAAAAGAGCGATGTAGATGCATTGCCTCTAGTCCCAGTGAGTTCCAGTGGCAAGTTCGCATCTAATGAGGAGAACAGGACATGTTAGACTACTAGTCTGGACATAGGGGAGCTGGTGTTCAACTTACGGGTCAGGCCCGAACTGAATATTGGCCTGGTCCCAATCATCCATGCGAATGAGGCATGAGCGGAAGCGTACAGCAGCATCAATGGAGCAGAATCTGAACACGACACTGCGGATTTTCTGACACAGAAGTTAAGTTAATATCGTGACTACCTAATTTTCTATCTAGAGGGACTCTGGAACTTACAGTTGATGCCTCATAGGAATCGATAATCTTCTCAAGGTGCCACTTTCTGGTATCAATCATCTCAACCAGCTGAGCAATGCTGACATTGAGAGGAGCCCCGACTGCACGAACGATGCGAGTTGCACCGATGTCCAAACACTCGACAAGACGAGAGCTGACAATGTCGACCTCCTTGCCGATGTCCACGAAAACGGTCCCACGGCTGCCGTTGTAGTCGAAGTCAATACCATTTGGGTGCTTGTCATAGAAGGTCTTGCAGTCAGCCGCAGAATAGAAGCGGATTTCAGCAGACTGGCTGGCTGGGTGAACAGAGACAGACTCGATCTTGCCTCCGTGGATGAGAGCAAGGATACGAGACTGGCTACGGAGGTAGACTGGAATATTAGTCAAGATGATACGACGTGGTGCAGCGTCTATGTACAAACATGTTAGTGGATGGATGTATATGTTGAGAGACGCGCGTTGATATAGACTTACTGCTAGCAGCACGTGGAGCTGGAGTGCCCCAGGTCTTGAAAGTGACCAAATTCTCACGGTCTTCCTCTTCTTCAGAAGTAGAAGCTTGAACGGAGTCACTTGCAAAGCTCTCTTCAATGGCAACATCAGAGGTCTTTCCGGGAGCTTCTCCGGGAGTTTCTTCAGGAGTAACGACGCCATTCTCCTCGGCAGGTGGGCATTTGGCCTCTTTAACATGTTCCTTGACGGAAGAGAGATCAGGATTGTAGTTCTCCTTGTCTTCTGTTACAGAGAAAACGCGTTAGCTATGGTGTAGTATAGGATGGATGGACAACAGCTTACCTTCGACGGGAGCAGGCTTCGTGACGCGACCCTGGCCAGCCTTCAGGACGCTGCCACCGCGACGAATCTTCTCGAGGGCGCCCATGAAGGCCTCGGTGTCGTCAAAATTGATAGCAGGCATGGTTTTCTCCATCTTTGACTTGCTTGCAGTGGTCTTGGGGTCCTGTTTTTTGCTCTTTTTCTTCTGGGGTGTCTGCTAGAAGTAGGTCAGTCAGGCTCATCTAGATAGGGAGAAGCAGAGCAGAGCAGAGTAGAAATAGAAGCAGGAGTAGAAGCAGATGGGATAGTAATAACTCACCTGCTGTGGCTTCTTCCCTTTGTTGTCCTTGGTGTCCTGGTTCTTTGGTGGCTTTGGTTTGTTTTTGCCTTGCTGGAGGACAGGCTGGTCCAAGGAGTAGATATGGTTGTCAGAGGCCCAGATGCTCTTCTCTAGGCCACCACTTCTCTCACTGATCTGGTTGAAGGTATCAAAGATGACTCTGCCCACCTTCACAGCCTCGTTGATTCTCTCACCTTCTTCATGATAATCCTGGATTCTCTTGTTGGCTCTGACAATGTGGGAGTCTTTAGAGTCACCGCCCGCCATGGTGGATGTGTTCAGGTTGTCTCGAGATGCAAAGATATCAGGTTACTGACGAAAGATGGAAGTCAAGATGCCAAAGAAGATGATGGAGAAGATGAAAAGGAAGAGAAGGAAGAAGAGGACAAGAGGATGGAAAAGATATAAGACCAAAAGGGTACGACTAAGCACTTAGGAAGTGTTGCAGGTTAGGCGGCGGATAAGGGGGGCCAGGTAGGAGAAGAGGACAGGAAGAAGGCCATCAGAGACTGCAAGGGGAGAAGGCATTTATAGCCTGCAAGAAGGTTCTATCTGAAGCAGCGGTAGTGAATACAGATTTAACGGTAAGTGCCGTCGAAAGAGCCAGCAGCAGTGAAGGACAGGTGGAAGATATGGCAGGCCTGATATCCATACAAGGGGCCATAGATGTAAGGGGATATATGGCTAGAAGCTTCATATTTACAAGAGAATTATGAATAAAGAGGGAGGGAGGAGGGGGGGAGAGAGAGAGATAGGCATGTTCATTTATGGTATCATAATCTTATTATTATTATAAGAAGAAAGCGATTGAAATGGATATTTTTGACCAACCTCAAACTCCGGGCTGATATGTAGAAATATACTACAAATATAAGAAAGAAAAGGGGGAAAAAGGGGCCAGTTCATCAAGGTTGGAATATCAAAACATGTCAGGGGATATGAGCTCCCACGTCTTCTCGCTCGGTTGGGGATGCGGCTTCATGACCTGGAGTGCTCGGTTGCCGCAGAAGCCTCCAGTGCCGGCAGCGCGGATGACGGTCTGATAGGAGCCTTCCCCCTTTTCATTTTCCACCCAGGTGCGCTCCTCGATGAGATCGCCTGGTTTCTCGGTCCGGCGAGGGTTGTGCCATGGCATACCTACCAGGCGGTTGATGATGTCGTGCGGCAGCGAGAAGAGCCGCTCGAACCGCCGGGTAACGCCTAGCCAGGAGAGGGTAAAGGGGGAGTAGGCAACGCGGATATAGGGATTCACGTATATGCCTGTATCAGCAGAGGGCTCTCCGCCAGCGGAGGGCGGGTCCTGGATATCAGCGTGTACAAGACAACACTCGGATGCTTCCCAGAGGAGGTCTGGTTCGGCACGGAATCGAGTTGTGTTATGCTGCTGTTGTTGCTGGTGCTGGAAATACTTCGCATCAAATGCAACCATGCCTCCCCAGCAGCTGCGAACACGGACAGCATCGCTTTGGCTGAGTACGTCTCGTCTGCTCTGCCCGTTTCCCGCGGTGGTGAACCAGGGGAAGAACGGCAGTCCCATAGAGTATCCTTCCAGGTCCCGTGAGGCAAAGGTATCGTAGAATTTGAACGGGTTGATAAAGTCGACTGCGCAGGCAGCCCGGTAGCGGGTGGCACCACCGTCCTCGGCCAGATTCGTCGAAAGGAGCAGCTGGAGGGCATCGACGGGGTCGAAGAAGACATCGTTCACGTAAAGGATCTTGTCAAACCTCGGCATGCCAGCCTGATTGATTGGCCGCAGAGCACGATTGCGTACTTCAGCCAGGAAGGAGATGCGCTTCAGTCTCCTGGACCCGTCAGGCAGGGTGATGTGTAGCAGCCCAGCCGTGTCGAGATGCTCCTCTGTGACCATGGAGTGGTTACACGGAGTCTCGTCTGCCATCCTCTGCAACGCACCCCGTGCCTGCTCGTTCATGTCGTTCTCATAGATGCTGAGATAGGAATTCTCCGGGCCCAGGAGGTCTATCAGCTGGAGGATACTCCTGCTCCACTGGCTCTGTGCCAGGCTGCCGTCCGGGTCATATATGTTGGCGGCGATGAAGACCTTTTCGTTGCGCGGGTTCCCTCGCCCGGGGGTCTCACTGCCGACTGCAAGGCGCTTCAGCTCGTTGTAGTGTGCCGGCCGGTGGGTGTAGGAGGGCCAGAGAAGTGCCACGGCGGCTGTCAGACAGAGACTGGCCGTCACCAGCCATCGCAGGGTCCTATATGTGCCTGACGGTGACAGCCTGGGGGCCGGCTTGCTGTGTCGCCTGGCAAACTTCCGGCGCCATCGTGGGGGCAGCAGCCGCAGTATTCGAGACGACCAGGCCGTCGAGCCATTCAACAGGTAGCTGTAGCTGTAGCTGTAGCTGTATCGTTGGTAGCCGCCGAGCGCGCGCTCGCCGTCGCCGTCGTAGTCGAAGTCGTCGAGGATGAAGGCGTCGCTGTCGCAGGAGTCGCGGGAGCCAGACATGCCAGTCAGAGGCCAATGGACGTCAGACAACACTCTGCTGGATTCTTCTTGTCCTCCGTCTCCTCTCTTCTTGTCTGCGTTCTTCATCTATTAGGCTCTCTTGGGCAGAACATGCGGTCTGCGATGAGAAAAAGAGCAGCGGCTGATCACCGTTGCAGACGAGTTCTGACGGAGTGACGCAGGATTTACAAATAGTGCGCGCATAGTACAGCAGCCTGGTCAGCCTCAGGACGCAGTTTAAAAGCGCCCATCGGAGGATCCAAGACGCCTTCTCGTCTGCTTCTACGTCTTGCGGATGCTTCTATGGAATGTCGCACATGCGTAACGGCCGGATTCTTCTCGCAGGGTTAAAACTAGTTATCGGATGAATCTCCGTCTCCGTCGTCCTGCCGCAAATGCCAGATAAACTCAACGCCAGACAACGCTGTCCCAGCTGTTTGTATTAGCTACTTGGTTATTCGTTATCCACGCCAGAGGCAGCGAGGTCGGGCCATGATCTTCGACCCTAAATATATCTGGCGCAAAAAGCAACGACTAGTTGCACAGCATCAAAGCCATCCTGGACACTTGGCGCATTCGGAGGCGTTCAACAGTTGACAACCTCAACCTCACGTCTTCAATCTGTAGTTCGTAGCTTAACCTCACTCCTCCGCCCGTCGTCCAGAGAGGCTGGCTGGCAGATGGGCCGACAGCCTTGGTGGCACGGGATGAGCGGCAAGTCTCCCAGATCTGGGGAAGATGCGGCCGGATGGATTTCCTTAAGCTTGAAGGATTTTTAATAACAGAACCCCCAAGGATAAAGAAATATACTCAGCCTTCTTGACTGGGCATCACCAACATGCGCGCGCACCAGCATGACTGACGGACTGACTGACAGAAGGACAAGATGGAGGATGTCCTTGTGGCCCCCCCCCCCCCCCCCCCCCCCCCATGGGTTATTTGTTTTTTTGCCCCATGAAGTCGGGGGTTTATCGTGCCCCACCCCCCCCAGTAAAACCTAGACACCCCCCGCGCCCTGTCCGGTGTTGAATTATCGTCAGAGAAACCTCC